TGGCTGGCGCCTTAGCCGGTTGAGCTATAGGCGCCAAGCCAGAAAGATAATTCTTTAGGCTCTGCTTGAAACCAACAGCTTCGGCAAACTGCTGGCCTTGATTCAGGACCAACGCATTTGGTACTTTAAAAAGTGTCAATGGGCTAGGGCAGAAAAGACAACAGAGAGAGCAAGGTCACAGGTCACATCAGCAAAGGGAGTGGAAGTGCCTTGAGAGATAATCTTTCTTCTGCCCTGGGCTCGAAATGGAGTTAAATCAGCCTGCAAGAGAAACCGAAAAGAAGCACCTCTAGCTGCTTCAAAGAATCAAAATTAGAGACTGAGACTGCGCAGGTGCAGAGGATGTTAGCGTCCCTCACAGGCTCGCCCAGTGCCCTTACCAGGAGACCACAGGGAGAGCACAGCCACCGGCACGATTAGTTCTCTGTGCCGGCCTCCCTGGTGAAGCCCTTAGACTTCCAGGAAATGTGTGGGAATCCGCCTGTTGAAGCTATGGGGCCTACCCTCGCTCCCAGCCCGGGGCCCGAACTGAATTTGGAAAGCGGGTGCCAGCCGCGAGCGAGGCACCAGAACAGGAAGGGCCGTCAGACCTCTCAGGGTTAGCCTTCCTTGTCAGCATTCTCACCTCTTTATCTGCCGCCTTCTCCTCAATGCCTAGAAGCGCGTACAGGTCCATCTGTAAGAGCTCTTTGGTCACCGCCATGGTTCCAACACTGATTGGATTCGTACTACAACTCCCAGAAGTCTAAGCGTGGCTGGGGACTGCTGGCTGCGAGTGGCGCTTAGCCCCCTGGGAATTGTGTTCTAGGTCAATCTTTTCGGACTCAGAGGGAGGCCGACGGTCGTAAGTGAACTACTACTCCCAGCAGCCCCCGCTTCCGCCGCTACCTTTCTCGGGGTGGGAGTAGGGGAGCGTCAGGATTCCCCGCCCCAGGCCGCAGCCAGACCGCGCGAGTGGGTGTGTGGGGCAGGGCGGGGCTGAGTGAGGGTCCTAGGAGTCCGAGTCCTGACCCGCGTGACATCAGCTCTTCCGATCCTGCCGCACTGGGAACCACCATGGAGAGCAGATGCTATAGCTGCGCTGTCAAGTTCACACTTTTCAAGAAGGAGGCGAGTCTTTCTTTTACCTAGAGCTAAATAGAGGGCCAGGGAGGACGGAATGAGGGGAAGACCATAGAACTTGGGGTCTGAACACTTGGTCTTATGGCTTCTTTCCAGCTGTGGGATTTTGATAAAATCAGTGAGCCTCAGTCTCCATTTCTGGTCTTAAACTCCTGGATTTAAGTGATCCTCCCGCCTTGGCCTCCCGAAGTGCTGGAATTACAGGCTTGAGCTAGAGTGCTGCTGTCCTTTTTGGAAGAATCTGTGCTTTTCCTTGGGTCAGGTGTAGCATAAAGCTGTTCGTTGCCTTCTCTCCGCCTTGCTCCTCCTCTGTAGCTTGATGTCCGTTACTCTCTCTGCGCTGAAACCTCCCCCAGCCTGCAGCCTGCCTATTTTCCAGGTCTCTTGAGTTAGATTACAAACTTTCTCTTGTCCCCAGGGCACCATGGTAAAAGGTAAAGGTTCCCTTGTCCTCAGCAAATACCTGCCAGATTCATCTGGTCTACCTCCCTGTGGCCAGGGCATCTGGCCAGATGGTGGGAACTAGATGGGGATGAATTAACGGTGCATAGGGAAGCAGGACTTGTAGCACTTAGCAACCTGGGTTTTGGAGTTGGGTTCAAATTTGAGCTCTACTGTCTTATTATTTAAGGGGTTTGGGTAAGTTGTATAACCTCTTTTAGCAAATAGGGATAATAATGGCAGGCATCAGGATTAAGTACTATAATGTGTGTAAATTGTGAGGATTAAATCAGATGGTGGACTTGGGCCTGTGACTCAAGTGGCTAAGGTGCCAGTCACATACACCTGAGCTGGCAGGTTCGAATCCAGCCCAGGCCCACCAAACAACAATGACGGCTGCAACCCAAAAATAGCCAGGCATTGTGGCAGGTGCCTGTAGTCCCAGCAACTTGGGAAGTGGAGGCAGGAGAATTGCTTGAGCCCAGGAATTGGGGGTTGCTGTGAGCTCTGATGCCACGGCACTCTACCCAGGGCGACAGCTTGTGGCTCTGTCTCAAAAAAAAAAAAAAAATCAGATGGTGAATGTTAACTGTTGAGTTTTGTGGCTGGCACATAGTGTGTGCTCAATAAATGGTTCCTGTTATTGTCCCATTCTAAGCCAAGCTTCCCTTCATCTCTGCTAGAGCAGAGAAGTTATAGGCTCTTCTCTCTCTCTGATTTTCTTTTATTGAGGAGTCAGTAAGCATGGGGCTTTACCTATGTGTACTCTATATCCCTGTGCTGGGGAATTGCAAACAAGATATAAAACATGGGAATTTTGCAGAAAGTTTTATTTGATTTGAGTAAGAGCCTGGAAACCGAGGAATTGCTTTACCCTCGGTCCCTGCCTCTCCCTAGGCCTTAGGGGCTCCACTTCTCTTCCTTCTCCCAACAACTGGTCACAACTTCAGAGGCTTCTGTATGTATCTGAAGAGTCCCAGGGTGCAGCCTACAGGAGTAGGTGAAAGGTGGATCCTGCTATTCATGTTTCTTGTAGTGTGGCTGTAAGAACTGTGGTCGGGCCTTCTGTTCTGGCTGCCTCAGCTTCAGGGCAGCAGTACCTCGCACTGGAAACACCCAGCAGAAAGTCTGTAAGCAGTGCCACGAGGTCCTGACCAGGTGAGAAGTGGTAATGAGTTAAGGTTCCACCAAGTGTGGCAGTGGGCCCCTGGCCCTTCTTCACAGCCTTGGGGTGGAGGGCACTCACTGGTGGGATGGTAGGACTTCTGACACTAGGTTTCTTTTCTGTAGAGGGTCTTCTCCTGCCAGTACCTCCAAGTGGTCACCACCTCAGAACTATAAGAAGTAAGTGCTGAAGAGAAAAAGACAAATGGGGATGGGGAAAGGACAAGAGAGCCATAGGGTAGGACTCTCTTCCCAGACTCTGGATCACATGAGCACAGAGTTGGTCAAGAGAATACCTACCTCTCAGGTTCCTGACTGCCTGCTTAGGCTCAGAAAGCAGCTTGTCAGCCCTTTCCCCAGAAAAGGCACTTGGTAAATTGCCGTCTCAGCCAGACCCTCTGGCAGGTCAGCTGGGTTGGTCTATAGATTGACACAAGCAAGGGTGACAAAGGATTACCCATAGGAGGCCTCACTAGATGCCCAGAAATGATATGAATGGGAAACATAGGTAAGTGGCTACCTTCACTCCTCCTGCCTTCTTCCTTCTTCAAGAGCCTCTATTTTGGCTTGGCGCCTGTGGCTCAAGCGGCTAAGGCGCCAGCCACATACACCTAAAGTGGCAGGTTCAAATCCAGCCCTGACTGCCAAAACAACAATGACAGCTGCAACCAAAAAATAGCCGGGTGTTGAGGCAGGCACCTGTGGTCCCAGCTACTTGGAAGGCTGAGGCAGGAGAATCGCTTGAGCCCAGGAGTTGGAGGTTGCTGTGAGCTGTGATGTCACGGCATTCTACCCAGGGGGACAGCTCGAGGCTCTGTCTCAAAAAAAAAAAAGAGCCTCTATTTCTTTTTTTCTTTTTTCTTTTTTTTGAGATGGAGCCTCAAGCTATCCCCCTGGGCAGAGTGCCATGGCATCACACTCACAGCAACCTCCAACTCCTGGGCTCAAGCGAGTCTCCTGCCTCCGCCTCCCAAGTAGCTGGGACTACAGGCGCCCACCACAACGCCTGGCCATTTTTTGGTTGCAGCCATCATGGTTGTTTGGCGGGCCCAGGCTGGGGATTCGAACCCGCCACCTTAGGTGTATGTGGCTGACGCCTTAGCCGCTTGAGCCACAGGCACCGAGCCAAGAGCCTCTATTTCATACCCTATCAGGCGTGTGGCAGCCTTGGAAGCCAAGCAGAAGCCCACCATTCCCCAGAACCAGGGACTGACCCAACAAGACCAGGTCATAGCTGAGCGCCTAGCACGGCTTCGCCAGGAGAATAAGCCCAGTAAGTGACAGAAAACGGGATGGCCTAAAAGACCAGGGCTTTTGGGACTGAGATTCCTCCCTTTGGGCTCTTACAAAGCTCCTCCCATGCCAATTACAGAGTTAGTACCCTCTCAGGCAGAGATAGAGGCACGGCTGGCTGCACTGAAGGATGAACCCCAGGGTTCCATCCCTTCTACCCAGGAGATGGAGGCACGGCTTGCCGCATTGCAGGGTAGAGTTCCACCGTCTCAGAACCCCCAGTGGGTGAGTACGATGGCTTAGGAGGGAAGGGGGTCCTACAGCATTCACCTGGCAGAAGCCTAGATATGTGTACATGTAGATAAAGTACTTTGTACTTTATGTACTTCGCAGGAGTTGGCAAAGCCTCCCACCCCTACCTCCTGCTCCTCAGGCCTGCTGCCAGGCCAAGGAATTAGGGACAAACAACAGAAATGGGTAGGGTGGGAAAGAGTGGCCCCCAAGTCCTGTTGAGGACTGTCAGACCTACCAATTATGCGGGTCCTTTTCTTGGGCTTTGAGAACTTCTCAACATCCATCTCTGACCTGGACTTCTCTGGAGTATCCCGGTCCCCACTGAGGTTCCCTCCTCTGGGCAGGCACATCAGACACCAGACACCAGAACCCAGACACAGCAGGCACAGGATCTGCTAACACAGCTGGCGGCTGAAGTGGCTATTGATGAAAGCCAAGAACAAAAAGGCCCAGGTAACACCTCCACTTGACTCCCCCAGGATCTGCCCCCACTCTTTCCCTAGATGGGAGATGAACATAAATCAGAGAGTGATCGTTATTATAAGAGCTACCATTTATTGAGCGCTTACTCCAAAGGTAGCCAGTGTGAACCTGGCTTAAGTGTGTAGGGTGTAGAATCAGACAGTGGTTCCCAGTTCTGTGTATGAGCTGTATCACCCTGGGCAAGTTACTTGACTAGTCTAAGTCTCACTTTCCTCATCTGTGAAATAGAAGTATATATGGTAAAACCTATCTCATGGAGAAGTCATAAGGAGTAAATGAGATAATCCCAATAAGTGCTTAGCATATAATTAGTGCTCAATGAATATTGTCTGCAACGATGATGATGATAAGGAATACGAAGAAGCTATTTACATAAAATTAGAACTAAATAAAGTTAAAAATTTAGTTGCTTACTGGTACCAGCCATGTTTGTTTGTTTTTTACTTTTTTGTTGAGAGAGTTTCACTGTGTCATGGTTGGTTTCATAGCTCACAGCAACCTCAAACTCTTAGTCTCAAGCAATTCTCTTGCCTTAGCCTCCCAAGTAACTGGGACTAGGTTAGGTATCCCGTTAGGTATCCTCCACAACGCCCAGCTATTTTTATTTTATTTTTTCTTTTCTTTTCTTTTATTTTTTTGAGACAGAATCTCACTTTATCATCCTCGGTAGAGTGCTATGGCGTCACAGCTCACAGCAACCTCCAACTCCTGGGCTTAGGCAATTCTCTTGCCTCAGCGTCCTGAGTAGCTGGGACTATAGGCACCCACCACATGCCCAGCTATTTTTTGGTTATAGTTGTCATTGTTGTTTGGTGGGCCCAGGCTGGATTCAAACCCACCAGCTCCGGTATATGTGGCTGGCGCCCTAGCCTCTCGAGCTATAGGCACAGAGCCTGGGCTATTTTTAGATACGGAGTCTCACTCTTGCTCAGGCTGGTCTCACACTTGTTAGCTCAGGCAATCCACCTGCCTCAGCCTCCCAGAGTGCTAGGATTACAGGCATGAGCCACCTCACCTGGCCTGGTACCAGTCAAGTTCAAGTGCTTAATACCCTTATGGGTTCATTGCTACAATCTTGGACAACATAGGTATAGAACATAATATGAAATGTTTTCATCATTCATAGAAAATATTAGATAGTGCCGTTTGGAAGGCTTCTTAGCACTGGGTTTGATTCAACAAGAGGTAATTCGGTCTCTCTGCCCCTAGGACATTTTTGGCAATGTCTGGAGACTTTCTGGTTGTCACAATTCAGACTGTACTATTGTCATCTAGATGGTATAAGCCCAAACATCCTGTAGTGCACAGGACAGCCTCCCATAACAAAGTGTCAGTAGGACTAAAATTGAGAAACTCTGCTTTAGAGATATGATCGTAAAAATCCTCAATAATTGGGTGGTGCCTGTGGCTCAGTGGGTAGAGCACAGCCCCATATACCCAGGGTAGTGGGTTCAAACCTGGCCCCGGCCAAACTGCAACAAAAAAATAGCCGGGTGTTGTTGTGGGCGCCACTAGTCGCAGCTACTCGGAAGGCTGAGGCAAGAGAATTGCCTAAGCCCAGGAGTTGGAGGTTGTTGTGAGCTGTGTGACGCCATGGCACTCTACCAAG